TCATCATTCCTTCCTCACTCAAGACACAAGTTTGGATTTAATTTATGTTTTCCTATCTTTAATTATATTTGTGATGAATTGCTCCATATCTATGAAGTAGTTCTCTTTAGAGTTTGATGGATTTGGTGTATTGATGATTGTTTGTGGATTATAATTCTAGTTTTATGTATTGAAGCATTTTTGGATGATTTAATTGTTGCATCTATATTCACTTATTCATATAATCGAGAGAGGCATAACTTGTGATATTTTTGCATTATATTGTTGGTTGAGTTCTTTAATTCTTCTTAGTAATCGAAAGAGGTTAGTTAAATCATTGATTAAACCTCATTAGGAGGATAATCGAGAGAGGTTCTCCTAAAGACCAATCCACCGCGCATTCTTGCATATCTTCACGTGCTTAAATTGGTTCATCTTGTGAGGTTAAGACTTAATCGAGAGAGGAGTTTTTGCTAAACGTTTGAACTAATAATTGAGTGAATTCGAGAGATTCACTTAAACATTAGAAGTGAATTACCTAGAGTTAGATCCCAACAATTATCTTGCACCTATCCTATCAATTAACCCCTATTTTCTCCCACTGATAACTTTCTTGCTTAGCTTTGTTATGATTGTCATTAGTCAATAGCTTTAGATTCTTAGTTAATTTTAGTTAGAAATCATATAAACCTCAATTGATGATTCTCCTAGATAGCAACCAATCTATAAACTACGAGAATACTATTTAAATTCAATCCATGTAGATATGATATTATACTATATTATATTTGATTAGCGAGCATAACTTAAGTGTGTGTTTTGCGCTCGTCAAATTTTGGCGTCGTTGCCGGGGATTGGCAATCAATAGAGTTTGAAATAGTTTATAGTGCTAATTCAGGAATTTTCTTTTTATTTTTATTTTATTTTTCTCTTTTACGTTTGGTGTTCTTTGACTGTGCGCAGGTTACAGGTTAGATTGGTGCATGACTCGAACTTCTGCGAAGGAAGTGCTACCATACGAGCCAGAAATTGAAAAACAATTGCGACAGCTGAAAAAGGAAATAAGTCTCACCAAGACATCAGAAAAGGTTGGGCAATCCTCAACCAAAGATATGGGTGAAATCGGTGATGATAATATAGATTTGGCTGCGAGAGAAGCAACCCAATGAAGAGAAAAACCTGCACGGGATGCTCAGGAAATAACTATTAGAGATGCGCAGATTATCTATGAAGAAGAGAGGGGTCGAAGAATTGTTCAGAATCAACCCTTGGCTGTAGACCAGTTCGGAAATAAAGCTCCCATGCCTGGGAGACCACTTGGCGATTATGCTAGACCGGTCTATAATCAAGGTTTATCATGTGTTAGACCACCCCCAATTGCAGCAAACAACTTTGGATTGAAGCAAGGGTTGCTTCAAACCCTTCAGAATTATTGTGTCTTCAGAGGGAAGCCAAATGACGATCCAAATATATATCTAATGGACTTCGAGGAGATTATGAATACCTTCCAATACAATGGTGCTGATTCTCCTGGATAGCAACCAATCTATAAAATACGAGAATACTGTTTAAATCCAATCCCTGTGGATACGGTATTATACTATACTATATTTGATTAGCGATCATAATTTAAGTGTGTGTTTTGCGCTCGTCAATATTATTCCTGCTTTCCTTTCGTGATGCCTTATTTGCCTTAGTTCAGTGCAGCTATTCTTGGTATATCTCTTCATTGTCTCATTTTCATTGTTTATCATTACCACACTGTCATATACCTGTTCAGTTTTCTTATTTATTCCAGTAGGGCCTTGACCTGACCTCGTCACTACTCTACCGAGGTTAGGCTTGGCACTTACTGGGTACCGTTGTGGTGTACTTATGCTATGCTTCTGCACATCTTTTTGTGTAGATCCAGGTACCTCTTACTAGCCTAAGCACTAGTGAGTCGACCTTGGAATTGGAGACTTCAAGGTATACTTGCCGGCGTCCGCAGGCCTCGGAGTCACACTCTATCTAGTTCTATTTCATTTTTCCTTTTTATAGATACTATTGTATAGGGATGTTCAGTACACTCTTGTAGAGCTTGTGACTTGGTATCACCGGATTTTGGCAGTTTTTATACTGTTGAGTTGCGGAGTCCTTTTTAAGATAGTTGTTGAGTTATTTGAAAGTTTTATCTTGTTCTCGGTTAATTCTGCGTGTATGTTAGGCTTACCTAATCTTAGAGACTATGTGCCATCACGATATCCTACAGAGGAAAATTGGGGTCATGACCGAAATAATGAAATTACCCTCTTTGAAAAAGATATCACCACACCAATCCCTTTCTTCTCTTAAACCTATCAACACGATATGTGCTCTTGCGACGAAAAATATTACCACTATCAATTTAGCCTACCTACCACCTAGTTTTCAGTCTACAAGTTGTGACGAAAAAAAGTTAAATAAATATTCTTATATTATCATTTATTCTAGGTTATATATTAATGTTATTACATAGAGTTATCTGTAATTATCTTTTTAAATGACCTAATTGTATAAATATTTTGTATACCATCTATGCGTAGAACTTAAACAACACAGATCAAAGGTTTCCTTCTTAATTACTTCCAGAAGGAAGATTGCACAATCCTTCAAGATCAAGAAGAAACAAAGATTTTTTAGGCACCATAAAATTTTGGATGAACTCATATATATGTACTATTTCTTTTAATTATATTGCATATTAAAATGCCTTATTGGGAGTGGCGGATCTACATACAGTAGTATGGGTGCTTAGGCATTCATTGCCTTTGACCAAATTTAGTAGATTTACATAGCTATTATCAAAAACTTTGATAAACAATGAATGAGCACACACATTTAAACTCATTTTCCCTCTTCGTTTGGAATTCTTTTGACAAGCAACCATAACTATAAAATCTTAGATTCGTTACTGCTTATTGTAATGCTTAAAGTACTAATATAAGATAATGTACAATTTATTTTTTCATAACTGTATTTTTCTTCTTGTTTCTTTTTTTTTCACCAACAAAACACATTTAAATATTTTTTTTCAATTATAGATCAATGTCTACATTAATACCTATAGAAGTGAATGAAACCCTTAGCCAGGTTATATTTTGATTGTGATATTTATAAGATTATAAATTATGTCTGAATACAAAAATAACGAAACCTAATTCACATCGGAGAAAACATATAGTAAAAAATAAAACCATCATATATTAATAATGAAAATCTTAGCAGAATACAAATCATCATATATTAATAATGGAATACAACTTGTAGCATCATCAAAAAAACTAAAAAGTACAAAATAAAAAATCTCACCTAGTATGAATTTAAACTTAAGCATTAGGTGCATTAATTATCTGTATTTTCTAGAGAAGCCTATGAAGAAGACGAAGATTAAGCCTCATTTTCCAACTGCTTCAAACGATTATTCATGTTAAAAATAGTTGTACTCAACCAAGCTTCAAACTTTGTTAATTTATCTGCATTAAGTTGTTCAATTGACTCCCATCAGTATCTTTGGATGTTTTCTTTCATGTTGTAAAGTAAAAGAGACTGAACACTTGTAATTTCTTTTATGTTGTCAAACACTTTCTTCCTATTGTTGAGTTGATTCACTTTGTTTCGTGCATGAGCCGCAACTAGGCGAGTGCTTTCACTTAATTGCATATTAGGATTAAAAAAACGATCAATAATCGCTTCAGATGTAGGATGAAAAAATGAGAAAGGCTTACTGGTAGGGGAAAAGAGTACAATTCCAACGTCAACATTGCATAGCGGTCGTCTTCACTTTCTATTTTTTTCATTGGAATATTTTGTCGTCCTCTAGTCTTCTTACCATCCAAGGATAAAATTATAAGGAAGGGTATAATATAAAAGCTTATTGATGAATAGTTTTCTTTAAAAAATGACACTTATGAGAAATAGAATATCATGACTATTTATATACATCAAGATTTCATCGTAATAAATTTCTAGCTAAATATTATTAATGAAAGCAATCAAAGAATTCTAAACTTTTAAGTTAATGAAGTAAATATTTTATCATACTTGCCAAAATTTACCAAGTTGTGATTAGAAAATGTGGATGTAAATTCAAGAAACACAAACTAAGTACCAGAATCTTTGAAATTTAACTCAAATAGGAAAATAAGTTAATGCGTTTAGAAATTCATCAAGTTCTAGTAGTTCGAATTAACACGGGTCAGTTTTAATGTTCTAACTGAAATAAGTGCAAATGTAATAAGAAGATAACCAAATCGAGAAAAAACATTAAAACTGCATTACTACAATAAAAATTTGAAATTAACTTGAACTCGGTAAATAATTAATTAATCACTAATTTTACCAAGTACTATTTTTGAAATGCAATATAACTAAGACGGACAAAGTGCATACCAAAATTGTATTCAAATATAAGAAGAACACCACAAATAAAATTATGCTATAAATTGTACGCATGGCACTATAGAATGAACAATTGGAAGCAACTCGACATACCGAGTTGTTAAATATATTAGACTTTTATTGTGAAAAAACACTCTCAACAGCTTGCTGAGCAAAGGCAGAGCAAAGATTTTAACCTTAAGGGTTTAGGATTTTAGAACGACTTTAAGTGCTAATGATTGGGTTCTAAATTTGTACCTATTTAATAAATTTCTTAAAGAGCAAAGGCTATGGATCCGGCCGAACTCATAGCTCGACTTCTGCCTCCGCCCCTATTGCTGAGGGCTGACAACGATCTATATTTGTCACTGCTCTTTAAAATTTTCATTTGATATCTAACTGACGTATGTGGAGTAGTATTTCCAGGCCCTCTTAAGTCCACAATCAGACTTGGTTTATTGACAATGACTCAAGAGCTTCTACTACACAGTTGCACATTCTGTGTGATCTCTAAGTAATACATTTATGGGAACTCATCACAGCAGAAAATAACAAGCTTTCGATATCAAAATGAAAGTTGAAAAACTGAATTATACGGGGGGGGGGGGGGGGGGGAGAGAGGATGCAGAATACATTTTTCTTTCACAACTTCACCTCCAGAACGATGCGGATGAAATTATTTACAACTATAATCAAACTCAACATAGTATTTGGAGTTGGAGCTGATCCATTAGAGTATCATGTTCCTACTAACGTGGTGCCCAATAGCAACAACAATTGTGCATCAATCAAGCAAGGTGGGGTCAGCTATAAGAATTCTCAGTATCTATGACACTCGTCCAACATTTTATAAAATAAAATATAAAATAATGTGATTACCCTCTCTGCAAAAGCTATCACCACACCAATCCCTTTCTTCTCTTAAACTTGTTTATACGATCTGTGCTCATCCGTGACTTCTCAGGTTTGTTTGACTTCTTTGTCTTATCAAGTCGACTATCCAAACTGTTCCTGGAAATTTCTGGAAGGTCAGATTGCAGACCGAATGTGTTCGTGGCTGCACTAATTTCAGGAGGTTTGCTCTTGTTATCAGACTCTAAAGATGTTTTATGAGAACCATCAGTGGCTGGCTTTGATTTGCCGAGACCAAGAACAAACTTTTTTAGATGTTTGATGTACACTGGGTAAAGCTCAAGATTGCAATGCCCACCTCCAGCTATCCACAACGGTTCATACTTCTCCTTGCATAGATCATAAAGTTGTTTTCCATGGGAACAGTCAACAACTTCATCCTCCGTTCCCTAACACAAATGGATGGGAATACTTAGAGATTATTCAAAATTATGTCAGATTCAGATGATTCTTGCACTGTTGTAGAATCAATGTATTGGTAAGTATGGCCACATGAACAAGTCCTAGCTTCAGTTTCTATCCTTGATAAAAAAGTACATACATCAAGTTTATGATTGCAACATTGTGCAAAAGTGTTTCATTAGTTCAACGGTTTGCTGAATAAGAAATTTGTTCCACTAGTTGCAGCAAAAGAAGAGCCAATCCTTTATTTTTATAGACTTGGATTGTCTAAAAATGGTCGGTTGTGCTGCGTTATATTGACATCTTTGGAGCTGGCTGAATTCCGATAACATTCTCTTCCCCTATGATCTTCTTAACCAGACTCAGATTGAACTATTTCCATAGCTTTTATACTTGGTGTTTAGGTAAGCGTATAAGCTTATTATCAACTGCAAGACTTATATCCAAACACCTAACTGTTCATTTATAAAATCAGCTTTAATCCTTAAAAGTGCTTTTCAGCACTTTATGCTTGTCAACTACTGTCAATCAGTAAATTAAAATAGGCTCTTAATAGAAAGATTTTCAAGGATCAATGCAAAAAATAAGCGTGTGACTATCATATAAGTTCCTCAAACACTACTAAAAACAGCTTTTTCTGACTGAAGATTACTGATCGAAAAGCCAATCAAAAAATGCAAATATACTTTTTCAAATTTTTTGACAAAACCGACCGAGCCAGCTGTTTTTTTTAGCGCCAAAATGAGGAAATTGCTTTTCCAACCGAGTCGGTCAGTAATGCGTCCCGTAAAAAATAGTTTTCAAGAACCCGTCGGTCGGTTTCCTATTTAAAAATTAAAAATTATATTCAGAAAACTGACCGAATCAACCGGTTTTTGGTCAAATCTTTGGTCAACTCATTTAAAACAACCTACCGAAAATTGCGTCGATCGGTTTTTGATCGGTAATCCTTTAAAACCGACCGCTTTCAATCGGCTTTTCAGTCGGAAATGGCCCTTTTTTAGTAGTGAAAACTTCCCGTGGCAAAGAAAATATAGTCAGATGAAAAGGAAACCCATGATCCATCAAAAAGCAAGTTTGTGGAGAGGGAACTACAATAACCGGACAAACTAGTAACAGTTCCCTTCCTCCCACCCTCCTCCCCCGATCTGCTAGGTATAAGTACACTGAAGGTTGTACGAGACTAATGAGGGCTCAGGGAAAAGGGGGAAGGGAAGGAAAATTACGGAATGCAAGGATTAAACAGTTAAAAAGAAGAGAACTCACATGAATGACTAGAACAGCACAATTCACCATACTAATTTTGTCGACATTCTGAAAGAAATTGGAGCAAAAACGTCAGCCTGTACAAGTGGAAAGAGGAAAAACCAAAAGACAAACTATAAACAGTCAAGGGTTTAAATTTACCTTATAAATGTCAAACCAATATGTGCGTTTGACAGGGTACAATACTCTTAGACCAGACAATATTGGACCATGTAAAACAACAGCTCTTAAATTGGGTGCCCGTGATGCAAGATCAACAGTCGGGCCGCTGCCAACAGATTGACCATACAGTATTAGCTGTTCATCTGTGACACCATACTGCTCCTTTAGGCATTTATATACTGCATCAATGTCTGCGTACGTATTACACTCGGATGGCTGATTCAAAGAAAGGATAAATTTATCATATTAAGAGTAATAGCTGACAGCAATTAGCAGAATAAACCCATATGATAACCCAAATAATGTCCCAAGACCGGCATTCCCAGAAATAGAAGGCTTTCCACGGACACTTCCTTAGATATCAATTTTTTTTTTCTTTTCAAGAAGTTCCTAGATATCTATTTAAAACTCCAAACAAAGTTATTTATGATATTAAGGCAGAAAAGGACAAAACGAAGCAAAAGAAAGTGCCCGAAACAACATTCAAATTACACTTCTAGATGCCTAAACAACATAACTAGTTTCAGCATCTAAAAGCTAGAGCAAAAGGGAAGCAAAGAAATGAGGGAAAAAGAGAAAGAGAAGTTATTCATGTATAGAACCCATGATATGTCTTAGGGGCACACAAGCGACATCCATGAAGATTTAATGACCTTAGCTCTCCCAGCAGCACTGGAAAGGGCAAAAGGAAAGATGGCATTCTATATTAATAATACACCTAAAAGTATACTTTAATATACACAATAAGATATCAACTAAAAGGTCTTAACTAACCTTAAAGACATCGAGAGGTGATTATCCAGTGTGCAACATAAAACATACAACAGAGACTCTACTCAGCAAAGAAAAGACAGAAAAAACAAAGATGAAGGATTTCCCAGATATATTGAATTCATGATGGAGTTGGTGTAAGTTTTTCAAGTCTCAGTTTATCGAAGCCAAGAGTGTTGTTTAATAACTGGTTCCTCAACCAAGTAGACACCACAACACGTGTATAAAACATTGCCAAATCTGTTCTTCTGACTATTGCCTTTTGAAGCTTGTACAGAAGACTGCCTTTGTTGATTAATTAAAGACACAAACCCCTCTCTCTTTCCTCCCCCCTCCCCCT